CTTCGAGAAGAGTTAAAGAGCAATTTTTCTCTTGAAGTAGTGGACGATGAGCTCAAGTTAGGGACCCCCTGGTAGCAAAAAACTGAGGATATTGGTAGATTTTTACATAGATGTCTCAATGAGGGAGAGGTCGAGTGTCAAGATAGCTTCACACATGGACAGAGGCTATTTCTCCTGAGTTTGGCATGCCTAGATGTGAGGGCTTTGTGTTTGAGAGCTAGATTGCTCAGGGAAACAGAATTGTTATCGTTGTTGCTCAGTTTTTTCAACGTCTTTGTTTTTGGGTTGTTCTAATAAGCTCGTCTCACGTTTATTTGTTGATTTCAGTCCTTATTTTGAGTTGCATTATGTAGCTTCTATTCCAGGTCCCTCCCTCTAGGAATCTATTGTAATCGTTTTCTTTTTCTCTTTAATAAATTGTTTTTATTTATTAAAAAAATAGGTCAACTGCTCAATTAACTCCATGTTCGGATCCTAAGAATTCATATCAGCAATGAGGTCTTCAATCCAAATGTAATTAAAAGTTAAGAATTAAAGATCTGTTTGGTTCGTAAAAATGGGGTTTAGAATCGGAATGGGCCATTCCCATTTCCTCCTTGGGAATGAAAATCCATTCTAGCTGATTCCGAATACTAAGCAAAGATTGTGCTCTGTTGGCCATAGAATTAATTTTTATTGACCAAAATGCCTGATTTCATAATCCCCACTATCTTTCATCTCAGAAAGAAAATCCCATATCAGAGGGAATTGCTTGCTATAGCCAAGGATATCTACTAGAATATGGTAGCTTTCCTTGCTATGACTGAAACCCAACAACTTTCGGGCCCAGAGAAAGAACCTGTGAGCAGAAATCCCTAGATTTTTACACCTTTTCAACACCCGTTCAACCAAATTAGCAGAAATCTTGCTTGAGAAACGTTCAAGTGCAGATTCAAGGTCATGATGAATGCAACGGAAATCACTCAACACCCGACATATCTCATTTACATCATCTGGTAAAGCAGTTGGACTTGACCCTATTATTTGTGAGACCAATGGAAATCCATGTACAAAACCTGTTATGGAACACCTGAACAAACACATGTTGCACAGATTCAAAAAATGAACCTGTTTATGGAACACTTGAATAGACACATGCTGCATAGATTCAAAAAATAAACCTGTTATGGAAAACACAAATGTCGTCCGGTGAAGAATAGTCATAGAAATGTTTGGAAAGCCACAGATGTCCGGTGAAGAAAAGGAACTCTCGTGAAGAAAACAAACTTTGGTGAAGAAATCGGCCAACAAGATGAAACTAGCCATCATCCAGTGAAGAATTGTCACCGGAATATTCTGAGAAGTGGAATATTCCGAGCACTGTCTGCTTGCAACGGTTAGGGTTAGGGTTCGATTGTTTTTCTCAAGAGAGGATAGTGAGTTTTTCGAGTAAGGGTAAAATTGATATTTTGCAAATTGCTTAGGTGYGGTATGAGGATAAAAATGTAGTTTTCCTTGGTTTCCGTTAGGTTCATTAAAGGATAGGAGGTTTTTATCACTTTTTTTAAAGTAGAAGGGAGGATTTTGCTAAAGGTAAACTAGAGAGGAGATTTTTATTATTGTCAAAAACTTGAGAGGTTTTTGTATTTTACCCTAACATATAATAGGGTAGAGACTAATTAATAATTACTTAAACATATAGGATCAATTCGGTTACCAAAAGCGAATTTTCAATTTATTTTCCCACACAAATCAAAACCGACTAGCGGTTTTGTAAAACTGACCAACTTGGGTTGGGCCGGGCCACTTTGGTCGGTTTGATTAGTTTGACAAWTAATGTGAACACCCCTACTGCATGGTACCATAGATTTTGTCATATAATAATTCCAATTTCAGCCGTCCTCTTTGGATTAAACATCTTTGAAGACAAGTAATGTCAAATTTGCAGGAAAATGTACAACAGTAAGGTGCTTATGATTCACTGCATCAAAACTATATAATTGGTTATGGGACTTGGGAGTTTGGTCCGATGGATCTCCATTCCCTGACAATGATCTGTTCACATTTGGTAAGGTTAGAAGATAGGCCCATACACTTTAAGTTGCAGCAATATGTTTCAGAAAGTTTACCCTGGATCCAATATCATGAGGTCGGTGATAGTGTGGGCATTTGTTTGGACTTAAAACCTAAAAGTGGTTTCTCCGATATGATCACAAGGACACTTGGATTAGGAAGAGCTCCCTGTCATATGGCCAATAGCCTGATATCAGCTGGAATTTACAGAACAACCTATAGATTTTTCTTCTAAAACTGCTTCGTTTATCACCAAGAGAAGGAAATAATGGAGTGAGCTTTGCATGCAGATTTGTTTTTGCTTAATTATGCATTCCAAATTCCTCAATGGACAACCATACTAAGAATTTATCCGCATTAGAAATCTAAAGTTATAATACTAGTGCACCTTTTGTTGTGCCCAAAACAAAGCTAATTGCAAGGAGAGAAATCACAGCAGAGGTGGAAACCCCCTTTCTCCTTTCTTGTTCATTCTAATCGCGGAGGTTTTGGGGAAACTGATTCACAGAGCAAATTCTAGGGGGCTCATAGAGGCTGGAGAGTTGGGAGGGTGGAAACCCCCCTCACTCACTTACAGTTTGTTGATGACACGATTCTGTTTTGTGAAGGCGGTAATGTGAGCTTTATCAGGAACTTGAAGTCGGTGATACAATTGTTTGAGCAAATGTCCAACTTGAAGGTTAACCTTGGGAAAAGCTGTATAGTGGGGGTGAATTTGGAGGAGGGAGAGATCAAGGAGAGTGCTGAAGTGCTGGGGTGTGAAGTTTCGGGGTGGCCTTTGAACTACTTATGGTTGCCATTAGGTGATAATCCTATGAGAGAGCTTTTGGAACTCGGTGGTGGAAAGGTTTGAAAAAAGACTGATACCCTGGAAAAAGAACTACATCTCTCTTAGTGGGAGAATTACACTAATTAAGGCCACGCTTCCTAACTTACCCATCTTTTTCCTATCGGTGTTTAAAATCCCAGTGAAGATTGCTAACAGATTAGAGAAGCTAATGAGAGATTTCCTATGGGAGTTGGGAGAGGAGAAGAGGGATCGTAAAGTTAGTTGGGAGATAGTGTGTAGGAGTAAGTCTTGTGGTGGTTTGGGGCTTGGGAGTATTAGGAGAAGGAATATGACTCTGTTGAGGAAGTAGTTGTGGAGGTTCCCTATGGAAAAGGAGAAACTATGGGCTAGAATAATGGCAAGTATACATGGGCTGGAGCACAATAGATGGGACGCTAGAATCAGATCTAGGACCACAAGCAATTCTCCTTTGAAAGCCATTCATGACCTGTTACCAGTTTTCTCCTCTAATATCAGGTATGACTTGAATTCCGGTAACTCCATAAAATTTTGGGAACAAACCTGAGTGGGGAGYGCCCCTCTAAAGGATCAGTTTCCGTCTTTGTATACTCTTTCTAATTTATGAGCCGATCTCGTCTTTCACCACCCCGTTCTCTTCCACTTCTGGGATTGGGTGGAACTTGGGTCTAAGAAGGGATTTGAGGGACTCAGACTTCGACAATATTTCGAGCCGTATTGCACTTCTTGATAATGTTTTCTTAGACCCCACTAGGGCGGATTCTAGAATTTGGACACCTACCCCCAATGGCACTTTCTCTTGTGCTTCGTTCTTCAAAGTCTTAAGTCAGTCCACCAGTCTTACCTTCCCCCCTTTCCCTGTTGGTGAGGTTTGATGCAAATCAATACCTCTTAGGGTTGGTAGTTTTTGTTGGGAAGCCTATCTGGAAAAAATCAACGCTGGTGATCTACTCCAAAAGAAGAGACCCAATACTTGTTTGTCACCTCAGTGGTGTGTTCTGAGTAAAGCGGATGGGAAGATTGGTTTCACCTACTAGTGTCTTGCCACTTTACGATGTCATTTTGGGATTGGGCTTTCTCCTTATTTGGATGCAGCTAGAATCCACCATCAAACTTGCAGGGCCTTTTCTCCCCTTTATTTTTCAGGTGACGGATAAAAAGGGGAAGGACAACGTGGAGAGGACTAAGGGTTGTAGTATATTGGACACTATGGGAAGAAAGAAACTCCAAGATATTCTCATAAACTCAGAGAGGAGCAGCAGATCTGAGGGCTATCATACATATTAGGGCGGTACAGTGGCTGAAATMTTTGAAACTATTCACAGATTACATTGTGGATGACATGTTGAGGAAGTGGGGTGAGATTGCAAATTGCACACAGACCAAGTCAATAATGAATGTGGCTTGGACCCCCCACCTAGTGGATTCTTGAAATTAAACTTTGATAGGTGTAGTAGGGGAAATCCGGGACAATCAAGGATTGGGGGTGTTTTTAGGGATGAAAATGGGGTCATCTCTGCCATGTTCTCAAGCCCAATTGGAGTGGGTGATTCCCTTAGAGTTGAGATATTTACAGTTATAGAAGGAGTTTGGAAAGCTAAGGAGTTGAACATCAAAAAAATCAAAATTGAAGGGGATTCAGAGGTGGTGATAGGGTGACTAACTAAATATCAAAATGGTTTATGGAAGTACAATAATGAGAGGAGGAAATTCAAGTGGTTAGTGCAGGAGATGGAAGTTAAGACATGTTGGATTAAAAGATCGGMTAATTCCCTACCTGACGATTTAACTAAACAAGGGGCAAAAAGGGATTCACTGTTTTGGGCTAAACTGTAAATTTAGTGTCTTTTTTTTCTTTCTTCCTTTCTTGAGGCTCTTTGTGGCTCTTGGAAGATAAGTGTGTTTGTCTTCCACTTGTAAATTTTTCTACTAATGATTTAATGAAAGTGTTATTGATAAAAAAAAAAATCACAACAAAGATGGTCTTCCCAGACCATGTACTAAGATTACCCTTAGATGGTTCTAGTACTTATTAATACTAATTGTAAGGAGCTGCTATTAATGATCYGGAACATTTTAAAATATTTGGGGCATAATAGAAAATAAATAGTGGGTTTTATTTTCTAATTCCTCAAAATATGGAAAAATCAAGAAAAACACCCTGTCCATAAATGAAATGAGCACAAAACAGGAACTGACGCTCTCAAACTCTGAATTGTAATTCAAAACACTAAAAGATGACATAAACGGTTCTGACTTTGTCCTCACTAAGATGGATACCGGAATCTTGACAGAATTAAGGAGAAATTCTAAACTACATTTCAAGGACTAGTATCACAATACAGAAAATTCAATATTGCAAGCATTTTATGTTGGTATCCAACAGCAACCCGGCAGGAGCCTTAGGATCTTTGTCAAATCCATGAGAAGACGACTCAAACATGACAACACAAGTTATTTTCTTCATATAACTTACTTCGGCAGCCCAGTTTCAGGGTGGAGAAGAGCTTGACTTTCATCAGCTAGCAACACTGGACCTCTCCCTGGTCTTGTGCAGATGAAATAACTAACATCACCTGCATATTTTTGGGAAGGAATATTGTCCTTGGTTTCTGGAGGTGGTGACAAAGCTTCAACATCTTTCCTCATCTCAAGACCGGCATCTTTTAGTATTGATTTATCACCAAGTACATAACTGGCGAGGAAATTTAATACACCAATCATCCTCAAGCAAGTAATATCGTAATGACCTATCTTCCACAAGATTTTTGACTTTATTCATAGTATATGTAAATGCCATACCTAGTGAGTTCGGTAGCGGGAGGTGGGGGAAAATAAAACAACAGCCGCTGAAGCATAAGGGAAGCAACCTCTCTATTACGTGCAATTAGAACTGCATTGGGCCCCGCATCAAAGGTATAAGCCACCTGTCAAAGTGTTCCAAAAGTTAATCAACTTCAATTTGTTATTGCAAACAACCTCAAAAAAAGATCCACTTTGGATAGATCTAAATACTTGAGGTTGCCAAGAAAGTGTAGATGTTGGTAGACCAAAGAGCAGTATGAAGATCACAGCTGAGAAAGTAGTAAGGCGTACAACTTCTTTGGAAAATTAAACTGGTAAGTTTTATCAGAAGCCTTGAATTTCTATATAAAATTAAGATAGGAATGATACAAATGGATAATCCATTTAAAGACAGATAATGGGAGCAATCCATGATCAAAGGACTACTGCTTGCTGATTGTGTTTGTCCATGTGCTTTGATGAACATGGGTGACTCGTACTAGCTCTTCACACAATAAATTAATAGCACCCTACATGTCTGATTAAAAGATTAAAATGACACAAGTGGACGATGATGATGATTTGACTCATTCATAGTGTGGATGATCAAAAAGGGATGGAAGGATTTGGATCAAGAACAACAACAGGATGAAGTACAGAATATACCTGCACACCTTGCAGTGCAGACAATTAAACTATAAATTTCACCTACATCTCAGGTGGTCTACAGAAATTTGTTAAAAGCAACCACTAAGGGGGTGTTCAACAACATAGTTGATTTTGTTTTTGAAAACAAAAATAACTGCAGCCTCAGCAAAAAATATATATACATAATTCTGCTGATGTGGCAGTTATTTTTTATTTCAAAAACAAAACCAACCATGTTGTTGAACACCCCCTAAAGTTTCCTCGTTTAAAATCATAATGTCATAATGAGTTGCCCCTCAATGTTTTGTCTAATTTGTTGAGAGATGTATAATCACTCCCATAGAGCACCGGGAAAGACCATACCTGTGGTGTTCCTGCAGACCGATTCCATTTTTCCACATAGCTTATAATCCTGAAATATAGTAATTTCTCAATATTAGGCCTTAAATATTAAGGGAATCTAAATGAATCCAAAGAGTAGCAAATACTGATAAAAAAATGGAAAAAGAGTTGGTGATCATTTTGATATGGAATTAGGAATAACAGAAAAGTTTACATGCCTGTGGGATGTATCATTCATGTAGAATATGGGAGGGCAAGTATCCAAGCAAACAGCATGAAACTGATTGCTGTCAGCACAAGTTAATCTTGCAAAGGATGGAAAATCATGTGTTCTAATGGCTTCTTCCATTTGCAATATTCGCTTTGGGACTACTTCCTATCACAATCAAAGAAAGAATGAATTCTCACAACTCAGAATTACCTTCAGGCTTCAACCACAAAGAATGAAGACTGTATAGTAAAGAAATCCCCTCAAAAATAAGAGGGCATGGATGATGGATGCTGTAAAATCTTATAGTATGATAATGACTCTCAAATGATTATATAGACAGCTTTCTAATGCTAAAGATATATTTTTTTGTCAAAGAAGCAATTGAAATACTTAACATACAATTGATGAAATAAATATCTTTGCCCTATGATGTAAAAGAGCACTAGTTTCAAAACTCTCGCGCATAGCTTTATAGCATCATCAAAGAAGCAATTGATTAACATACAACTGATGAAATAAATACCTGTGCCCTATGATGTAAAAGAGCACTAGTTTCAACACTCTCACGCATTCCTGTAGTGCTACTTGTTTCCTTTTGCTGTGAACTTACCTGGAATGACAAAAAGAAAAAGTGTTACAGATCCAATGAATTTGCAAAATGAACAAGAGATCTATTAAAGATGCAATACAGTGAACGAAATAGAGAAGACAATTCCTATAGAAGGATAATGTTGTTCTATCATGATTGCCAGATTCATGGAACCCATTAGATCTGGTCTAGATGAATAACAAAGTTTCATGTCAGAAACATAATGCTAGGGACAAATTAGCTAGGGAGGACGGACAAAATTCCCAACTTCCCAATACAAATAGAAGTTCATAAAAGTAAAATGTAAGAATTTTCATAAAACAAAAAACAAAAAAAACTGATACCAATATGGCACCCCATAAATTAAACAAGTTAATAACCCATTAGGTGAGTCACATTCAGAAGAACCATGACTTATCATTCAGGATTATCAAAGTTAATACCACAAAATGCAAAATGAAGAAACAACTAGTAAGCGAACATGAATTCATAAATAGAAACATTATTACATCAGAAACTATGACGCTGAAAGACATAAAATGTGCTTCTATGGCAGACAAGGAATTGAGAGATAGTAGCCATGTCATCTTTATTGAGCCAATACAAAGCAATGATTTGGACAAAACAACACCATCCTACCCCTCAAATAGAAAAAATGCGAATGCCTTAATACTGAACTTGGATGAACATGATATCATGTACAAAGCCTGTTAATCAAGACATGAAGAAACTAATGCATGTCACACCATCTTTGATAAAACAGCACCCCTATGATTGCCAGAAATAGTAAATGGCATTTAGAGGACGATCTTATCAATCTTGATTGGCATATCTAGGGCTGCAATTTGGGCAGGCTCAAGATGAGCATTTGCTAAAATTTGAATAGGCCCAAAAGTGATGATGTGTAAATTATTGAAGTTGGATAACCAACTTGAACCCCTAACCATATATGGAAATTATATTCAAATGAAAGGCAAAGGTTTGCAGGCTACAATATCTACCTAACTTTACAAACTTAAACCTTCATTATTTTTCTGGAAATACCTGTCAAAATAAAGAAAACAAAGACTTCAAAAAGATGAAAAATATAAAAAGAATGTCAATGCTAACTTAAACAGTGAATGCACTTTATGTAAAAACAAGGTGAACACGTATATACAAGAAGATGAAAAAATCTTTAAAGCTCGTCTATAAATGTTAGGTATTCATTTTGTTGCTTGTTCCTCCCTTGAGCATTCACACCCTGAGGCTGTTGCACATTAATGGACTCAATAATTTTGAGGAAATAAGCAATTACAATCTAACAGCAAGAAAATAAATGTGTTATCATGCAACAGTTTAAGCTCAATTGCCTAATCCATTGCTTGATATATCCAGTGAAGAAAATGTAAAGCTACACTAGAAATTCTTCACCTTTAACCTCCATTTGCTGGATCCAAAGAGTAGAAAGCTAGTTCCCATGTTTATTTCTAATCATGCACTAGCAACAAGCAAGGGTTTGAATGCTTAAATGCTTATGCAAGACCAGCCCAGAATTCCAAGCCCAGTTCAACTGGCCCTACCATCTCTGTTGGGGTCAGTAACATAACTTAAGAGCAATGAGCTTTTTTCTACGAAACAATTGAGTCCAAGTGCTTCAAGCCCAACCTAGAAGATGCCAACAAGAAAATATTCAAGAAAATTTGTTGATAGTTGAAAATATTCAAGAAAATACTTTGGAAACATTCTGTGATTTTGTATCTTTTTTCTTTCTTGTTTGTTTCAGTGATGCATAGAACAGACATGGATCCAGTTGGCATCTCAGAGTCTGACTTGGGAAACAAATGGAGCCTAAAAACCAAATAACTTTTATATCCTGCTTCCTTTCCCTGAAGGTTCTTCAAGATCATCAATAGTTTGGCCATATAATCATATAAAAATGTTAGTTACTGGTATGATTACAATACTGTTGTATAATTACAAGAAATAGGTGTTGTTTTTAAATTAATTATTTTTACTTAAGTTTTTAAAAGATCTTTACATTCTGGAAAAAAAAAAAAAAAAACAGATAGTATATACCTCATTGTTGTTTCCAATTGATTATGGCAAAACTGATAAAACTTTCCCTTTTTTGAAACTTGGAATATTTTCACATAACTTGAAATTTTCACTAATATATTGAAACTTTTTTAGATATATGGTAAATCTCGAGACGTATTTGGAATTTTTTGATTCCATCCTGGGATTTGGGAAATGGGGAAATTTCCACTCTGTCTCAAGGAAATTGCAAAACATGGATGAGGCAATTGACAATGGCAGGATAGATTTGATATACTCTATTTTCAGGATACCAAAAACCAATAATTATTCATGAATTTCAAGTGGTGGTTGATGTTACACTGGAGAGCCTTTTGTGCAAATATCATGTTTATTTGTTTATGAACTTTACTCTTTGATGTTTAAGACAAAGGATATTCATTAATAGAGGAAGGTGAAGAACTAGAATCAGTAGAGAGAGGGAGACCAAGTCAGGTTGTGTAGGATAAGGACAGTTTCTGCTAAAGGTTGTGCCAGTAAGAGCAGGTAGTTTGGAGTTTAAAGAACATGGTTCTCTGGTGTGGTTCAGTTCCCCCCCTCCCCTTCTGAATTTGTTTGATATTAGTGCACTCATAATTCTAGAAAAGCTGGCTTACTTCAAGTTTATAATCAATAAGAACTCAAGTAAATCATAATGTCTAAAACACAATTTAATAGGATGTGTAGATCATATGCAAACAAAATAATGATATCATTTAACTTTGATATAAAATGGAATAGAAAAATAGTTGAAAATTGAAAAAAAAAATTCCCAATATATCTGGGGAAGAAATTACTGTGTACCAAGTAACAACTAACAACTAGTAAACTATTTAATTGGCAGAAGAAATTGTAAGATAGATGCATACCACTGCAATAATAATAACAAGATCATCCCAATGTGCCTCATTTGCAAGTTGAACAGCAATGCTGTCACTTCCATTATCATCCTTGACAATTGACACATAAAAGAAAAAGAATGAGAATATTGAGTGAACATATCATGCACATATTCTTTAACAGAAAGCACACACAAAAAAAAAAAAAACTCATAAATCAAACTTACATTTCCCATCACCCACTTGACAAATCCCCCATACAGACTACGACAAGCACTGCCTGATCCTTGCCTGTATATGTACGAACAAGTTGTTTTTATATATAGGTATTACAAACAAACAATATGCAATACATCAATCCATAAATATGAATACGTAGGAACAAGGAAACACGAAGGCAATCATACCAGTATCATGCAGATAGATTGACAAGCATCTCAAAGATATTCTTTGTTCAATTGATTTGTATAAAAATGTATTTCAAGATACAAAGACAAACCTTGCAATAGCAGAAAGTGCTCCTTGATCTTCTTTTAGGTTCATTAGTTTTGCAAGGGAAAAGACTGCAGAGGGGAACAAAATAGCATATTATAACCATGTAAAATGGTTTCAATAAATAGACCAAACATTACCATTTAGTTCAAGCTGCACAGTACAACAAAAGGTAACTGATATAAAGGAGGCCCTAGGCAGGACATTAGTAAGACATCATGACAAGGATGCAAAAAAAAAAAAAAGTAACAGAATTATATGTTTAGTGAACACACATTCTGAAATCCTAGGAATAGATATTGGCCCAATGTTGCAAATGTCATTGAGACATTGATATTAGGTAAATTTTTGGCATAGCACAAGCAAATGGATGTCATAGACCAAAGATCATAAACATGAATGATAAATCCAAATGGCAACTATAGTCACCATGCTAAGTCATCCTTGGCATCACATGATTGCTTATATCTTTTCTTATCTTCTTTATAAAGGTAGAAACTTTCTTGTCCACTGAATACAAGAAATTGAAAGGATTTAGATTTTGAGAATAATAATGGCAATTCTACTATTGATAAAAAAAATGGCAATTCTACTGCATTATCTTAATTTGAACAATTTAAGGGTTGTTCACCAATACGTTTGATCTTGTTTCTTTAAAAGAAAAACAATTATTCTTTTGGTTTAAAAGACAATGTCATACATATTGTCAAACACCCTGTTACAGGCTAGAAATCCTCATCATTTGGTGTAAGCTCTTTCCCATATGTGTAACAATTCTGCCAGCCTACATCTTTAGTGAAGGTATCAACCGGATCACTTCAAACCCCAAACCCAGTTCTTCCATGGAAATCCTCGTCATTTGGTGTAAGCTCTTTCCCATATGTGTAACAATTCTGCCAGCCTACATCTTTAGTGAAGATATCAATCAAATCACTCCAAACCCCGAATCCAGTTCTTTTATCTAACTATTTCCTCAATAAACCTACATTTTCCTATCTAAAAGAATAACAAGATCAGACACCAATGCTAGTCAGAATTCGTCTAGCCCCCATTCCTGAAATACATATAAACTACCTTTTTCTTTGGCTGCAATAAATATAAACTACTCTTAACTACAATTATTACTCCTGTAAACTTTTTCCTAGTCACCAAACAAGATGTACAACTTTTAATTTAAAACACCACAGAGCAAAGGTTGCATGCAATTTTACCAAGACAAGCAAAACCAGCAGCAGAAGAAGCCAATCCAGCGGCAGTCGGAAAGTTGTTATAGGAAGCAATATGTACGTGCAATCGGTCCCAATCTTCTTTCTTAATGTGGATCCCCTTGTCCTCATCATCAACGCTGTTTGCACGGCATCGGATTTCCCTCAGACAGTTTTGAAATCTACCACCAGAGAGGGAAATCTCCTACACTAACCAGAAAAAGTTAAAATTTCCTGGAGTGAGCAAATACTAAAAAGCATAAAAAATCAGACCTCAACCAGACAAACAAATGAGATATCCATGAAATACACCTTCCCATTGAGCCACATCCTGTCATTCTCGAAACTGGGACTAACAGCAACAGTGGTCGTCGTGCAAAGATGCTCTGGATCAAGCGTTACACTGATGCTGTCGTTTACAGGAAGAATTAGGGTTTCATCCCTCTTCCCCCAGTACTTGATGACCGCGATATTCGTTGGAGTCTGAGCAGTCACCATTAGTACCCAGTTCTGCAATCCATTCGCCATTTGGACCACACCGAAATCTGAAAAAAGAGATATTTATTGATTCTTTCCTTTCAAGACAAAATCTGAAGAAGTCTCTTCAACTACGAAAAAACGCCTACTTAAGCTGAGAAATGTAGTTTTATAATGATCAAATGAAACCAGAAAGCTGGAATTTCAACAAATTTAAAGGGAGAAGCTGGGCTAGGTTTTTTTCCGATCAGAAACAGAGAAAATAATGGTTTCTGAGAAAGGATGGGATGGGATGAGATGGAATGAGAAAGGATGTGATGAGAAGGGAAAAATTTTTTTTTCAATCCTGTCACTTATGTTTGGTTGCTAAGACCAGTTATTCTGTCAAATTTGTTTCCCAGTGTTTGATTGCTGAGACAATTTTACACGATTGTAGGATCCATCTAAGTTTGAACATGGTTTCCTTGTCCAAGACCATTCTCATGGTTCCCTATATTTTTGTTATTTCAGATATGAGGTTGGTTTCCCTATATATAACCATGAAATTGATGCTATCTTCTAACAACTGCACGTTTTAGTAAGATCCTGATAGAAGTTGCACTTCAAAAGAAGAACCCAGTTGCTACAAGGAGGAATAGACTGATGATGCCACATTCTCCCTCCTCCCAGTCCCTGCCCCAGCCCCTCTTTGGCTTGCTCTCTGATACAAATATAGATAACATTATTGACAAATGTAGACTTTTTTATYAAAGAAAAATAAGATGATGTTATCCTTGATGAAATATAATGCTGTCATGATTATTCTCTCTCTGTTTTCTTGCTGGATAATCAAGTTCTTGGTTTTGTCTACAAGGTTCAGAGCTGTGACGAAGAAGTACATTTCTATGATTTTCACATAGTGTATAGTGGTTCCTATAGAGTCCCAAAATGGAGCTCAAGCTGAAAAGTTTGAAATCTTTGAAGATTTAGTATGGTTTATCAGAAAATTACTGAGAAAATGAAAATTGTGGAGAAGTAGAGCATCTTAAACACCCTGATCAACATTTAGTAGAAGTCTTCAAGTTACAGAGAGAGCTAGAAGAGTTGTTAAAAAGAAACATTTAACAAAGATAACATAGATGATCCCAGAACCAGTTGGGAATAGGACCTGAATACACGCATTTGATATATCCAATTCCAAATACATGACTCTACTTTGGGTTTCAAGCCAAGCTGGAAAAAGGGGGCCCAACTGGCAAGATCCCACATCAAGATTCTGAACCTGAAATGAAAAGAAGCCTATGTGGACGAGACAAACGTCGGAAGCCGGACGAGGCAAACGCCGGAAGCAGATCTAGAGCTCCAACGTTCAAATGAACACTTTGAACGGCAGTTCAGGTGTTTTCTGGCAATGGAGTTTGGTTTGGACGAACAGGAAGAGGTAGAGGACAGTGAGAGGATTGCAAATCTGAACTTACCGGCGAAAGAAATCACCGGTGATGGCACCGACGAGAAGACTGTTGAACGGCGTGTGGAAGGAAGACGACGCTCGGAATGGTGCTCTCGACAAAATTTTCTCACTTATTCCCTTTCTCAGTGGCGTCGCACCATTTTGGTGTGACCTCGCATATAAAGGCTTTTGGAACTCGCGTCTCAAAATTTTCTCTCCTCATTCCATTTTTTTTCAAAACAAACACATCACAAAGACAAAGAGAATATTCCTTAAAGATAATTATTTCATCTCTTTTTCGACAACCAAACGGACCGTAAAAGATGATAATTTACTGATTTGAAAATTAAAAATTATAAATAAGAGAAAAAACGGATTCCAATCGGTTTTAGAGACGAGAAAATAAAAAGAAAAAGAAACAAAAACCCAATTGTTCAAGGTTCCAAATCTCTAAACTAATTGAAATTAATGGTGAAGAAAAAGCAGAATGTCAGAGAGTAATTGCAGAAAAATGATGACTTGAGGTCTATATATCTCTAATCAACTAAGGATTGAAAGAAGGAAACAGCAAGTCTCGACTCAGACTCCACAGTCTCGAGAGCAAGACAAATACAACGGGAGACTCGGGTTCGTGAGTGGTTCATTTATATAGCAAAATTACCGAACTACAACCAATTTGTAGTTTCAATTGGACATTGATTTGACAAAGAAAATAGAGTCCATTTTCCGTTGCCACTGATGCCCATCAAATCCTTTTGTGGTGAAGCCCAATAAAATAACATAATTTGTCAACCCAAAAGTAGCTTCCTGAGTTAACACTGTTGGGCTCAGGAACTACATCTTGTCATTTCTTTTTAGAAGAGCTTGAGCATAGATCCTGACAGTTCTTTTGTACAAAGAAAAAGAAAAAGAAAAATAGTTATTTAGACTATTTTAGAGATGAGAGATTTTTCACTGATGGGCTTAGGAACTACTACATATGGGCCTCATCAAGTGTTTCTTCTTAAAGAAATGGGCCATCTTCATAGGCCCAATTGATGTTGCTTCAACCGAATGGGCTCTATTGATTGGACCTTGGACGTCCTTGTACTCCAAAGAGGATTCCATGTTTGAACGGGCAACTCCTGTCATCATTTCAGCAAATCGATAGGGATGTTTTTGTAATTTAGCACCCAAATTTCCCTCTAGTCTATTTTTCTTGTTGTCTTCACACAAAAAACCTGCCCAACCCAACCCAACCCAACCCAACCCAACCCTATAGACCAAATTCAATAACGGAAACCTAAGTATCCAACAGGAGCGCTCATACTGGAAAATTTGTGTGAACCCCTGGTGCCCATCCGTCATTGGCTCCAGAACCAGAAGCAACCCGCAATATTCACTAGATTTTTTTTTTCCCATGTAAGCGCTACTACCCATCCGTTGGTTTTGTAAATGCACAACCATCACCACGGTCCATAGAAGTGGGTAGCGTTGTGAAACACGTTAACATAGCTCCAAAGCCAGAAACAACACGCAATATTCACCAGCTTTTTTTCCACGTAAGCGCTACTGTCCATCCATCGATTTTGGGTAGGTCATATCTAAAACCGATGGACTTAAATGTACGACCATCACCACGGTCCATAGAAGTCGGTAGCGTTGTCAAACACATTAGTATAGCTCCAAAACCAGAAACAACCCGCAATATTCACCAACTTTTTTTCTCATGTAAGTGCTACTGTCCATCCGTCGGTTTWGGGTAGGTCATACCTCAAAACCGATAGACTTAAATGCAAAACCATCACAACGGTCCATAGAAGTGGATAGCGTTGTCAAACACATTAACATATCTCATACCACCAAGAGTGAGAACATGTGTTGTGTCTATTTGGAATGTGAAGTTGGGAATCATGTGAACTCAAACAAAGTTGTAGTCATAGTCGTGGTTGGTGAGGGGGGGCCATTTGATGGAAAATTCAATAAAATAATAATAAACAAGATTAGATCGAGTGGTGCACATCGTAGTTTGATGATACATCTTGACCATTAATTAGCAAGTTACATATTATAACAATAGGATCTGACTTGACAAAGGCTTTCCTTGCGGAATTGGTTTGTGAACTGGAAGGGAGGTTGGGAGCCGCCGGACGGCTGGAACACTTTGCACATTTTCTCTGCTTATGTTAGACTCAAAAATCAGAATCTTGTGTGAACGTCAACATCCCGTTAGAATTATTTAATTCTAATGGGGACTGAACAGTAAAAACTCTAGATTTTATTCATTTAAAAAAGAAATAGAATAAAATATATTTAAAAATTTACATCTTTTATTTTGATAACTAAAAATTTGTCTTTTCAAAGAAAGAAAAAAGTTGTTCTTTTCCCTATTTTAAGTCATGCATTCATTGGACGGTGTATCCAAAGATGTGATTGGTTGAGATTTGTAATTTCATTTCTTAAACATGAAAATTAATGTGATTGATTGGTTGAGATTTGGAATTCACGTAACATCCAATTTTAGTGAACGCATGGTAGTTGAACTATTAAATTAATTTGAATTTTACCCAGATGTCCACAGAGCTCATTCTTTCTTCTAAAGCACAGCACACTCTTCGCCAAGAGCATGGTGATTAGTTAATAGTTGTATTTGAATTGGGCGCCTCACAACGATTTTATAGTAAATCCCACTAACCATTGGGAACATTTCTCCTAAATAATAGGGTTAACTACTTTGTAACTCAATGCAGAATTCTGAATGACAGTCCCCATAGTCTATTAGTAGCCCCTCCCTCCTATAAACTACATCCTGTCGGTGAATTTGATATTAATTCACGGTCAGGATTCATCCCCTTGTATGTTGAAGCTATAAAATTCTAATTTAGACTGACCAGTCATTCTTCCTAAATAATAATATATAAGTATAGGAGATGTTCCCAATGCATGATGGGATGTGCCTGTGAGGCTGATGTAAGGTGCCATGTGTGGGGAGTAGATCCGGTCTCATTGTATTTGGGTTTCATCTTGTCCAAAAATGCTGATATAGAGGGAAGTAGTGTTATAGCTAGCAAAATAAAACAAATCTTTTTATCAAATAGGTAATTTAAGCATAACATGGCAGTTATATGGTGTGTCTCAAATTTAGACCCAAGTGTGCTGTTGTCAACCTGTCTAATTCATGAGTAACTAGATGAGTTGCAAACAAAATCATGGTTAGGCTACCTATCACGAGTGAATATATCAGTGTTCACTATAGACCCCATCTGTACTAAACACCGGTGTATTCACTCATGATAGGTAGCCCAGCCCAATGTGCATGATTTTGCTTCCAACTAATCCGGTTCGAATTCATCAAAGGGTGTACCAATTTCAAATTGATTATTAATTAGCTCTACAAGATAATGTGGAAACTGGACCAGTTATTAATTGGGATAGTTGGGCCTGACTCAACTAGACTTGATTGTACTTGGCATCTATAATTATAACATTATAATAATTTGGAACTTCACTTTTGATAAAAACAACCTTAAAATGACATTAAATAGTAAATTGTTTATCTATGTTAATTTGCCTATGAAATTAACCTTTTAAACATAATTTATAACAAAAATTACAAAACCTGCAGGAGGCCTTTGTATATTATTTACTGTATAATTGGGCCAAACTACAAGAAGAACAACCTCTTTTGTATTGTCTGSTAACTCTGGTTCAAAAAATATATATATTATCATTTTCAAAAAGAAAAAAAAAATACTTTTTCCAGTACATTGAACCAAGCAATCACCTATTTTCTTTAATTTTCATCTTTTTCTTTGTGGAAATTGACAAATTGTCCCTAAAAAGTCAAAGGAACGTGTTTGAAACCTCCTCTTAATTCTAGCTTAATCGATCACTTGCATGTTAGTCAAGTGAAACCAAATTATTCCAGTCAAATTTTGTAAATGTATCTGATTTCTAGGCTTTATTTTGTTGACTTTTAGTTTGGTTCACGACTGAGGAACCATTCAACATTGCAGCTGAGGGTGGTTGCTTGCTTCTTGTCCTGTGCTTTGTTGACCTTTAATTGCAGTCATTCCATTCTACGTTTTGAACGCTTTTCAGCGTTTTTAGCAGATAGAAATGACAAAAGAAAACTGTTGTTTATTAAACTTTCAAAGGATGAAAATACAATCCGGAGGGCTATTAACAATTCCAATACAAGTTTCTCAGGCACACACCCACAAGGGAAGTGAGTTAACAGATTGGATTTTACCTACGAATGCAACAAATGGTTAACTGCTAAAACTGCTTCAGCAATCAGCTGATGGTCCACCTAAATAGCTTGACAGTGCCAAGAAGCTATATACTGCTTTGGCCACCCACTCCTCTTGGTGTCAATTCCTTTCTTTTGGTAGTGGACTATACAAAACATAACTAGCCAGTTTCCCCAAAACCCCCTAGTTGCCCTCTTAAGCCATTAGGTGAGGTTCCTGAATAGGTTTTTTTTTCTCTAATATACTCTCTTATACGAAAAGCCCATTAGATTTGAAGTATCGAACACTTGACCAATTGATCAAATAGGCTCTAATACCATGTTAAGGAATTGTTCAACTTAAAAGTTTAAATTGTTAAGTGAGGTCTCTTAATAAGTTTTCATTCATTAATAACCAACAGTATAGCTAGCACCTTTATGCCAATTTAAGGCCTAGTTTAATAACATTTATATTTCAAAGGATTCAGCTCAATGCAAATGCTTCCACTATGATACTAAATATAAGGGAATGGAAAAACAGGGTTCATGTAGCCAACCTCATATTATTGATAACAGCTTCAATAATTGACAGCTCTTTTCTTTGACAATAGTAGGATTCGAAACCACACCACTGCTGAGACAATCCATCTATCGCACCAACTGGGCTACCCCTCCCACTTGGCCAAAGAGCCAAGTTAGGTGTCTGAACATTTTGTCTAGGGACCATGAAGCTTTAGGGGCACAAGTCAGGCCAGGTTAGGTAGGGTTGAGGTCAACCCGAACCCAACCCAAGCTGTGACCCCCCCCCCCCCCCCCCTAATCCTAACTCAATCTAAAAACTTCAGGTTGGATTGGGTTTAACCTAAATTCTTTATTTCCTTTTACAAAGTGTTCCAATTTATGTGGTAGTTAAGAAACAGAAATAAAAGATGTCACAAATAGTTTATAAAACTACAACAGGGTAAGCAG